CCACCCTGTAAACCATCAGATCTCAACTACTATTGAGGTCGCTCTTGCTAATCCAGCCTGGAAAATGATAGTGATGGAGGAGATGAATGTCCTTCAGCGGAATCATACATGGGACGTCGTTGATCGTCCTCAGGATAAGTAAGTTTTGCGATGCCGATGGATTTTCAGCACCAAGTTCAACTCTGATGGGTTCTTTGAATACAATAAGACACGATTGGTTGTTAAAGGGTACTCACAGACCCAATGAGTTGACTATGAGGAGACATTTGCTCCAGTGGTTAAGTTAAACGCTATTCGAGTCATGTTGTCTCTTGCGATGAATCTGGATTGGTCTTTATTTCAAGCAGATGTCAAGAATGTGTTCTTGAATGGATGGCTTGCAAAAAATGTATACATGTCTCTCCCTCCTGGTTTTAAGTTTATTGCCTCCAAAGGGCAAGTATGCAGGTTGTGAAAGTCCCTCTATGAGCTAAAGCAATCCCAAGAGGCCTGGTTCAGCAAGTTCACAAAGGTGATTGTGAGTCATGGTTTTACTCAGTCTCAATAAGATCACACTCTTGTCAATCAGGAAGGACGAAAATCACACGACTAAATTAGGAGTTTTTATAATTATGAGCTTCCTTATTTCTAATATCTTTACTCTGATTTATTTCTCTTTTATTCGAATATTTAGATTAGGAATATGTATTATTAAGTTATCTAAAATAGATTATACAGAATATTTTGTACCTAAAATAGAATGTAAGATTATTATTTAATGGAATGAAAGCAAAGAGAAAAAAAATCGAGCCTATTCAGGATTCAACATATTTTTCTCAAAACTTCGAGATTGTATCAGAGCCAAATTTTTTCCCTAACCATCGATAGTCGTTGGAGGACCGTCAAGACTCCCTTCCCGGCCTCTTGCGGGAAGGGAGGAGCTATTTCTTCACATTTGATTCGCTTTCTGCCGCTTCCTCTGAGGTTGATTTGTCCTCCTTCGTTCGCTTCGGCTGCGTCGTCCTCCTTCAATCTTCGAACAGTTGTTAATTTTTCAGCTACAAATAAAACCCCCTCGTATGCCCTCTAAGCTTTATTCATCTTCTTCAGGAGCCTTTCTGTAAAGGTTCTGCGACTGCTTGTTGTCTCTCACGAAATCGAAGCAGGGGATCGCCCCGGCATCTTCTGCGATACGATTGATGGCTAATAGGAACCAACACCTGAGAGAATCCAGGACATCCTATTTTCTTGTTATTTGTGTTTCTTTTGTATTCATTTGATTGATAGAAGGGTTTTGGATTGGACTGCGATTGTTGACGCAGATCCAGGGAGGATGCAGAGTGTAAGGCAGGATCCGATGGACAAGGACGCGAAGCCATTCGAGGAGGTGGATCCGACGAGGAGATATGGACGATATGGGAATCTTCTAGGTACTGGCGCAACAAAGAAGGTCTGCATGTCAAGAGATGGAACTTATTCTGAAATGCAAAATTCATTAATTGTGGAAAACAAGGATTCTTGAGTTGAAAGAGGTTGTTATGTTTGTATTATTATTCGTCTGATTCGGGTCTTCATCGCTAGGCATCGCTGCTTCGGTGGCATCTTCAACTGCTTCTTATGCTTCGTTTCGTCCGCTTCGGCTAAAGCACTCATTTTTAGATCGTTGGCTTCGGCTTCAACAAACCATAGATCTTAGGTTTTGGCATTCACGGCTTCAACGCCCTCGGCTTCGGCACTCTTAGGCATCGACACTCACAGGCTTCGACACTCTCAGGCTTCGGCATTCTCGGCTTCGACACTCTCGGCTTTGACACTCTCAGGCTTCGGTACACTTAGGCTCTGACACTCTCAGGGTTCGACACTCTTACGCTTCAGCATTCTCGGCTTCGACACTCACGGCTTGAGAATTATTGGTCCCGACAGTGTTATCAGTTTCTTATTGACAAATTGATGTTTCCTAATCAGTCAACATCAATTTGAGTGGGAATGTCAATCACGAAGGACAGAAATCAGACAACTAAATTAGGAGTTTCCTTATTTTCAATATCTTTATTCTGATTTATTTCTCTTTTAGTTGAATATTTAAATTAAGAATATGCATTATTAAGTTACCTAAAATAGATTATACAGAATATTTTATACTTAACATAGATTGTAAGATTATTATTTAATGAAATGAAAGTAAAGAAAAAAAGGAATCGAGTCTATTCAGGATTCAGTCTATTTTTCTCAAAACTTTGACAACTCTTTTCTTCTGGCATTCATCCAATGGTCAGGTTGCTAACCTTATTGTCTATGTTGATATTATTCCTACAGGTAACGGTCTACCAGCATTAGAGTCCTTGAAATACATTTTGCCATGTCCTTTAAATAAATGACTTGGGATCTCTCTAATACTTCTTCGACATGAAAGTAGCTCGATCACCACAGGCTTTTGCCTATCTCAGCGTAAATATGTGGTTGATCTCTTAATAGAGAATGATCTTTTTTTGTGTAAACTTGTGGCCGTCCCTATGAATCCCAATGAAAAATTATCTTACATTCCAAATATTGTGTTCGTTAACAAGACTCACTATCAACATCTTGTGAGGAAACTTATCTACCTCGACCATAATCACCTCAGCATATGTCACGCAGTTGGTATAGTGAGTCAATTCATGCATGACCCCTATGAACATCATCTCCAAGCTATCCAACAAATTCTCCATTATTTAAAAGATACATTGGGCTTAAGTTTGTGTTTCTCTCGTCACAACTCTCTGTGTATTACTTTATACAGATGTTGATTGGGTCAAATAGGTTCATGAATTCCACATTGGGATATTGCTCATTTGTATGGTGAAATCTTGTCATTTGTCCGGAGCAGCGTTGAAGCTGAATTTTAGTCTATGTATCTAGGGATTTGTGAAGTTTTATGGCTTTGCATCATGCTCTGTGAACTTCATATGTCAACATCTATCACATTGCAACTATTATGTGATAATAAGGCCACCACCAGCATTGCTCACAATCCACTCCAGCATGATTGTACCAAATATGTGAAGATTGGCAAACAGCTTATTAAGGAAAAGATTGAGTGCGGGGAATTTTTTGTTCCATTTGTGCCCTCCACTGGTCAACTAGCAAATATTCTCACCGAGAATCTTCCTCATCATTCATTCGATGACTTCAAATCCAAGTTGAATGTGATTGACATATGTGTTTCAACTTGAGCGAGAGTATAACGACAATCTGTAGTCATTATTACTTATTATTATTTTTTATTCCCCCATTATATATTTTCTATTTGTTTTACTCTTTTATTTCTTTCCTATTTATTTTATTCTGCCTTATTTCTTTCTTATTTGATTTATTTTATTTTATTTATTTCATTTGTCGTGTCTATTGTAATTGGGTTTAAATACCCCTCTTATATCAATAAAATTATACCGCTCTATTCTAAATCTCAAAAATAAATGTTTTGTATCAACTAAAAAATATATTTTAGTATCTTAAAAAAATCAATATATAAATTTAAAATTTTAACATCATATCATATAAAATAAATGTTCATGAATTTCATTATAATGTAATTAGGTTAGTAATCAATTAGATTTCCTAAATATATATATAAATTCTAAAAATACCCCCAATTTTTAACACCTAAAATATTAAATCCCCTTAGTTTTAACTATGGGACTTGGTGATCATTTTAGATATTTTGGGTCTATCCTTCAAATTAATGGTGATATAGATAAAGATGTTATTAGTAGAATTCAAGTCGAATGGTTAAAGTAGTGGAATGCATCAGGTCTATTGTGTGATAGAAAAATATCGTTTATACTTAAAGCAAAATTTTATGAGACGTTGGTGAGTCCTGCAATGCTTTATGGCGCAAAATGTTGGCCTGGAAAAAAGAAGCATAAAATTTAGTGTTGTTGAGATGAGAATGTTCAAGTGGACGAGTAGTTTTATACTTGGAGACAAAATATAAAACAAATATATCTATGAAAGGGTTGGTGTAGCTCCAGTGAAAGACAAGATTAAAGAGGCTTGCCTTAGATGGATTGGTCACATTAAATATCGACCACCTGATAATCCTGTTAAGCGAATGGATGTTTTAGATTTGACGTATATTAAGAAAAGTAGAGGTGGACCTAAAAAGACTTGTGCATGATGTATAAAAAATTATCTTAATTTATTAGAATTAAATGAAAATATGACACTCAATAGGGCAACGGAGAAAAAAGTATTCATATAACCAACCCCAATTAGTGAGATAAAGACTTGTCGTCGTCGTCATTGTTGTTGTTTTAATTGTGAGGCTTTTTCAACACTTATTGAAAGAGTTGGGGGGTCATTTTGAAAAAAATTTAAAGTTTGTGACTAAAATGGACGCCAGCAAAATAGTCAACAGATCATTTTGGCACCTTTCTCAAAATACATCCATTGTGTTACAATTTTAGAAACTAAATCAACTAAATTTATATGCCTCGCCGTCCAGCCATCTCCTATATTCTCAATCCTTAAGAAAATTTTCAAACGTAAATAAACAAGTGAAATATAACATGTATAAGGCATAAAAAATGTCATAACAGTTTATGATATAACTACAAATTCATCATCAATCATTTCTTCGATTGGCCTAGCCAGAAAATATATACAAACGTAGCCAATTCAGCAGGTCACTAGCCAATTCAACATGCTAATTTTTCAAAAGTGAAAAGTGAATAGGGCAATTATTGGTTTATCACCCAAGTCATTATTATTTAAAAAACCAACCCCCAAGCATTTCTATTTACAATAACACCATTTCAATAATTAAAATACGGCAAGGCCAACGCCATGAGAATTTGAGAATAAGTTTTTTTAATTCTTTACTAATTTGGGAGAAAGATGTGTAAATACAAAAGACTTGGTTTGGTAATTCATTTTAAAGATCTGAGTGCTAGCTTCGTAAATAAGGATGATTTTGAGTATTACAAAAGTAATTTTCGAGACAAAAAAAAAAGAAAAAAAGCTTGAATAATAAGTATACTCACATAAAGTGTGAATGCAACGGCAACGACCGTGATGGATATACCAGAGTGATGAGGAAATTTATCCATTAGCTTTCTACCAACAAATACGCAGAAAATTGCAACAGGACCAACAATTAGAAATATGGTCAGAAACAGTGACCTTACGTCTGGTCCAAATATGAACCTCCCTTTACAGATAAAAACCTGCAGAGCAATATCATTTTAATTGTCTTATTAACATGTTCTGTGGTGATCAGACAGCAAAATATAATCAAGGTGCCAAACGGAATTCCCAGTTTACAACATTCATATTCCAACATGAACAATTCTGTTTAGTTGAACGAGAATGGCTCAGGGAGTTCGAAAAGAAAACTGTGCACATATAAAGCGCAAAATTCCAATCATAATCCATAATTGAGTTATTGTCTGCTGATAAGATGCCAAAAAGTCATCCATGTTACCTTATGAAAAGCGAGCTACTGAAAATTGAAGTAAAATTCAATGCTGTAAATGAAGGGCATACGGAGGTTATTCATAAAATTAAAAAAATTCTTCTGAAGATTAGTAGCATATCCATACAGATGAAATAAGAGTTTGATTGCACTGGAAAATGGCTCTTAAATTATATCATTTCCTTATCGCTCAGACTAATTTCTTCCATTAACAAAACACCGTTGCTTAAAGGATTTGTAGTTCTTTACAGTCCCAAGAGTATACAAGGTTTGCATTCTTCTCTTTGCAATGACGATTAAGAAAATTAAAATTAAAAAATCAAGAGGAAACCATTGCAAAATTTGCTAGGTTCTCTGTAAAATTCAACAATTTTACAATCTTCTCTTCTACAAATTATAAATAAAATTAAAGAGAAAAGGTAAAAGAGCATTTGATGCCAGTAACTGTACAAACCAATTGAGCTGGACCTCCTGCATTAAAAATAATTTATATAACACACTGATGCATATTAAACAAAAGAAATATATACTCATTGTATCGATAAACAGAGTTGAAGTAGAATTAACTCCGAAAAAAATGTATAAGGTTAACAGAATAGACCCGCATGCAATACATGCCGAGATTTAATAAATTAAGGGGGATATTACAGTGATTTAACTAAGAAGTCTTTTGTGTGTCAGTCCTTCTAACACAGCTCTTTTTGGGGGTAAAAGCTTACTTTTGCAGGACCCTTGAGCAATTTAGGAACTAATATTTATGACAAAATTATTATTGCTATATTTGAAGCAAGATGAAATTAAATTAGTTATTTTTTCGCCAATCTTAACATTTTGTGTAGTTGCTTTATTTGGGTTCTTTGAAAGCTATAAATAAGGACCCTAGAGCAGCTAAAAAAAATCATTGAAAGATGAATATTTCAAAATAATTCTAGTTTTTCTCTCTTCTTGTGTGTGCTTGTTGAATGTGTATTCTTTGAGTACTGCACAAGTGTGAATGATTACTTATGGGGCAGACTGCTAGTACTGTCATAAAGCATGATTCTTCCCTTAGAATAAATTCTATTATTGTTCTTTGTCTTTAAAATTATAGAGACGATGCTTTTACACATGTTGCAGCTTTGATAAGTAAGATGCTGTTGGTTTTCCTTTTTATGAGTGATTTTAATTATTGCTTTATTATTATGCCCGTTGCAATTTCTCTTGATTTTGGACAATTGGAATAATCTTTAGGGTGACGCAACATGTTTGTTGCTACAACAATAGAAGTGATCTGATTTTGCTAAAATCAAGAGTCGGCAGCCTATGGATTGTAATTTTTTTCTGCATCAAACATCTCGTCCTAAGTTGCACTAGGAACCCTAGACCCTTAGCTTTTCTATGCCACTAAAATGTCAGATGATTCAATAAGAAATATTTTCGAACCACTATCTACGAACAAAAATGATAATCAAAATTGCATTAATTATAAAATAATTAAACTTAATAGTAATAGAATAAACCCATAAAAGAGAGTAATAAAGCATAAAATTGAAAAATTAAGTTAATTTCTAATAATTAATTTGTTTTCGAGCTAAAAAAATCTACAATAAAAAATAATTTCGATGTGAAAACAATTAATTTAAAATGTATAATAAGCTGAAAAAATGTCATCATATGATTTGTACTAATCTTGAGGAGTATGATCGAGTACCATGAGAATTAATTTAATGTGCATAAAAAAATGACATGTAGAAATATAAGTTAGTTTATTTAAGAAGTACATGATGGAGCATGCATTAGTATCAAGAGGAATTAAGAATGACAGGTTTTAAAGTAAAATGAAATTACATCCAATGTCAGTATTGAAATGAGATGTTTACAAAGGGCATTATAAAAAACAGTGATTTTTAATATTTTGCTCTTATAATTAGGGAAACATTAAATTATTTATATTTGGAAGATGGAAGGCTTATAATTAGTAGAATAAATTATTAATATAAAATATATAAATTTAGAGGGTATAAATAACATCAACGATTACAAATCGTTGCTATTTGAAGATAAAGCAATATCTAGGTGTGATAACTTAAGTATCTATGATTTTTTACATAAAAGAATGTAAATATGATGATGAAATAACTTCTATAATTAAGTTTGAAATTAAAATGGATAAGCATATGGAAAAAAGAATATCATCTCAACTAAAAGGTACATTGACCAAAAAAAGATTAGTAGATAAGTTAAGCTTAAGAAAAGAGTATAGTCCTAAAAAAGTCCCCTAACTATTTGCATGGGGTCATTTTAATACCAGAGTCTATAAAAGTGTCAAATTAATCCCCTAACTCTTTAAATTAGTGATTAAAAACAATCTGAGTATTAAATTAATACTTTCATAAACTTTGGGACTAAAATGATCCCATATAGAGAGTCTGGAGGACCATTTTTAACACTTTTCTCCTAAGAAAAATGACAAGGTCAAGAAGGAGGTTGACAAAACTACGAATGATAAATTAAAAAATGCTTTTACTAAGGAAAATATTAAATTTGCATCCATTAAAGAAACGATGGTTGAAAATAAACTTGTGTATGTTAGACATGTACAAAAAGAGGTAGAAAATTATCCAATTTAATGGGTTCATAAAATTAGTAAATGAGTATTGGAAAAAAAACTTTGAGACCTATTATAAATGGATAAAAGTTGTTCAAAATGATTTGTGAAGAATAGTTTTAAGCCACTTAATGAGGATTCATAGAGTTGACCCCAAATACTTGAGATGATGTTAATAATATCAATGATAATAGCAATTGAGCAATCCAAGCAAACAAGAAACTACTTTCTTTACCATGCAATAACCATCGCTTATGATTAGAGGCTATCTAATGACAATTGTAAGAAGAAAATAGAGAGATTAGATAGCAAAAAAAAATAATAATAATAACTAACATCAAGCACACAAAGAAAAGAAAACCGACTTAATGTAACACTTTTTAGAAGGCAAATTCTTAACTCTTTAAAGGAGCAAGGGAACACCTAGGAAAGAATATTTCTACTGCAACATGTTCTATTGTAATTGAAACTAATGGACAACTAACATTTTGCTTCTGTATTAACTAATGAGCTATTTTCAGTTTTCCACTTACTCAGAACTCAAAAATAAAACCAAGCCTCTACACAAACCCATTGCAGTATTTGATATCAAACAATGAAATAAGGTTAGCAGGATGAAGCATTCTTTTTTATGTATAGTTATTAAGAGCATTTGAGCAATAATGCAGAACTACTCGCCAACTAGCTCCTCAGATCATAGTAACCACTAAAAATATTCAATCAAACAGTTAAAAACACATTCTATTTATCTAGAGAGTTCCTTTTCAATTAGCTCCGGAACATGATAATAAATATAGAGCAATCAATAGATCCAGCAGCTAGTAAAACCATCAATATAACAATATTTCACCTTTGACACCTTGCATGCCGCCCTTTACTTCTAGATCTACTCTTTCCTTGCAACATGAGATCAATCCACCAGAGTCTATGCTTTTCAGGACACATAAAGCTAAATTTATTTTAAAAATACACTAAAATAATGGTGTTTTACTATGTTTTGCCAGGCCAGGCACCGGGAAATCCACATCGCGATTTCACCTACCAGAACGGAGGACAAGACTACGATCTACTTCTAATAAAATTACCAAAGTCCAAGGCCGCTTCATCATAGCCTTTATGAAGTTCTAAACACATGCAAACGATCCTAGAAGAAGCAGGTTCAAACAACCAGCATAAAAAAAAATTAAAAAAAAATAACCAAAAAATTGTTTAAAAATCTGCGATGAAACAAAAGCCCTTTAAATTAAGAGTGGTAAAATCCAAAAAATAAAAAATAAATTAAAAAAAATCATCCGCCTAACAGCACCTCCGACTCTAATGTAATTGAATCCCAAATCAATTTTACCATAGCGCAAAACAAGCTCAAATCTCTCCATAAAAACCTCAAACTCGCAGAAACCAAGAAGCAAATATAAAATTCCTTCATCAAGTTCTCACAGAATTATGGATAGCGAAAGGGCCGGATCCACTTACGTTGCTACCTCTCCAGACCTCATAAACCCGAGGGGCATCCTCGATGCTCGCAGCACCCGCAGCAGCAGACACCGAAACAGAAGTAAGCGGGAGGTCGTGCATTCCGTCGGTCTCTCCCTATCGAGAAACACTAATCCAAAGCCGACCGCAGATGACCGGAGGTTTTGCAGAAACTCTACAGGCCAACGTTGCCGGTCAACTGCAGATCGGCAGATCCGGTAGCTTCGTTATCCGAGACTGAGTCCAATCACTGGTCCTCATACGACGCCGGCGACGAGCGGCTGCCGTCGAGGCCTCGCGTTTGCTTGGGCCTTGGAGAGAATTTGGGGGTGGGGGGAGGGGGAGGAACGGCGACCGTGGAACTCTAGCACGTGCCGCGCACCGGTTACTTCAGCTGCTTTTATCTGTCTTTTTGAAAATAATAGTATACAAATTGAATATTGACTAGTTGTAGAATAAACAAAACCAAAAGTAATTTTATTATTATTATTATTAAGAAAATATAATAGTTTAAAATTAATTAAAAAAACATAAATAAAAATAAAAATCAAAGTTTCGATAGTGGATATATAAATAGATAAAATTTATAAGATATTTATAAAAATCTTTCCTTTATTTATAATAATATATCTAAAATTTAAACAACATTATAACTTAAAAAGTTTAACTTTTCTTAAATTCTCAATTATTTAATTAAAAAAATGTCAAAATATATTGATTTAAGATAAACTTTAAAATTCTAATGATATAATGCATAAAAAATTATTAAATTTTATAAAACGCATGATTAGTCGTCAAGAATTTTAATCATTGAGCATGAATCATTATATATTTGTTAATAAAAATATTCTAAATTCGAATTTAAGATCATCTAGGTCTCTATTTCAACGAGTTTAATGTCAAACTAATGTCTCGACAAGACAAACCCAGTGATACCAAAATTAGTTCAATCAAGATCTATTCAAACATAGATCAAGTCATTAAAATAAATTTAGAGATTTTAGATCATCAATTGCATGGTCAAATTAACTTCAAATTTGACATAATTAATCGTCAAATTGAGCTTCTCGCTGAGAGGAATCAAAAGAGAAAAAACTCGTTGAATTACAGGATCATTAAGACACCCAAATCCTTAAAAATTATTTTATAATTAAGATGGATCAATATGTGTCATTCGATCAAGTGGTTGGGGAATTTATTAGTCATAAGAGCAAATTGCTCAACTTTCTTAGGCTATAAATAGACTTTCTCTCTTCACTTGAGTGGGCTGGGGGAAAAGATGAATTTTAGAGCCTAATCTAGACTGTAAACCTTATGATAACCTTTAAAATTCATAGTTGTCAACCACCATCGACTACCGCTCGTCAATCACAGACGACCACCGACACCCGCCACTGTAAGTTATCACCGACCTCTGACAAGTGGTGACTCTTGCTTGCAAACGTTGTATTCCAAATATAACTGCAACATTTTAAGACATGACGATAATTCCCGCCTTCATAGTTGTCGAACGCCACACCTACCGTCACCACCTACTATTGTTGACCACCGTCAATCATTACTTAGGATCGTCGTAGCTAACATATGATGGTTGTTCATAACATCTATAATTTTTTTTTGCATTTTATAAAGACAAAATGTAGTGTTCAGTGTAAAATTCTAACCACATTCACTCTGAGAGAATGGATCGTCATTAGCCACAAACTCTGTGGTCAACTGACATTATTGCAATCATCATTTATGGCATATATGTCCAATTAACAATATCACAGTCGCCAACTACACTGACTACTACTGTTACAGCTTCTAACCATAGCCTTTGTAGCCAACTGTCATTAGTCTACTCCCCAACTAAGGTATTTATAGCCAACTACCACTATTACAGTTTTAGACTACGACCTCTATGGCCAACTCATATTATTACAGTCACCAACTACGCTCTCTGTGGCAAACTGACGATAATATAGTCATCAATTATGGTCTATATGACCAACTGATGATATTGCAGTCACCAACTAAGGCCTATGTGGTCATTTGACTACATTGCACCCACCAACTATGGCATATGTGCCTAACTGACGTTATAAGAGTCATAAACTATGACTTCTGTGGATAACTGATATTATTTTATTCACCAACCATAACATGTGTGACAAACTATTGTTATTACAACTTTAACTAAGAGCTATGTAACCAACTTACACTATTTCATTCAAAAACTACGATCAACACATAATATTGCAGCATTCAACCATGATTTTTGTGGCCAATTACTTTATGTGCAATAATCAACTATGGTATTTGTGGTCAACTACAACTTTTACATCTTCCAACCACTATCATTGTGGCCAATTATCGTTAATATAGTCTCAAACCTTGGCCTTTGTGATAAGCTATAATAGTTACAACAACCAACTATGACATTTATGTCCAACTATTAATATTATAACCAAGAACTATATTTGGCATTTATGCTCATCAACTTTGTAAATATATCGTCTCAAATTCAGAAAAAGGGTGATTATATGTTTATAATTACATAGTGAATTTCTTTGACTGGCCTAAACCCAGTGAAAATTTTCTTTTTCAAGGTTTTCCATTTTTAAAGTTCTGATGTCTCATCCTACGACTCTTTTATCTATATATATGTTGAATCTTCGTGTCATGCTAGACAATAAATTATCACTTTACCCCCGTAAAATCATCATAATTTAAATGTAAATCTAATAATTTTACAGTTTTTTATATAAAAAAAAGAACCAAAACAAGTTATCTTCAATATAGTATTGAAACAAAAAAAAAATGTTTATTTTCTTATTGATACTAAATAATTTTAAAAGCCATTGAGATTTTTTTCTTCTATAATCTTATCAATAGCTCATATTCCATATATATTTTTTCAAATAGTAGTTTAAAAATGGTTTTTAAAAAGTTTGAAAATAAAAAAAAAACGAATTTTATAATGATCTCTGCTGGCTTTTATATCTACAATAAACATTATTATAATGTCTTGTTGGATGCATTCACTTTTATTATAACTGAAAAAAATATATTTTCCAAAGAATAACTATTCCAGGCAAACAAAATAAAGCACCAGACAAAATAAGAGTTATCGCCTAGTCCTACATTGTTAAAAATTTTATTGTTGTCACTTGTCATTTTTAGCCCCATTATCCATGTTAGCCCCTAACTTTGTTACAATTGTCACATTCAGGCTCATCAATCTCATTGCCACAATATACATGCTCACACTGATTAGCCCGAACCATCGTTCGAAAACTACAATACTTTTTCCTAAAATGAAGCCGGCCATGTCTAATCTATTGAAACCATTCGTTTACATCACGAAAATTATCGATAGCCTACTTGTATTGAGTTCATGACTAAATCTTAAAAATATTTCTTCCACAAAATTTATATTTTAGCTCTCGAAGAGGCTGAGAAACTTGCCATCTGTACCTCAAGTACATGAAGACAATATGTCATCTCTCATTTCCATACTTCTCTCTTCACTCTGTTATCATCATGCTTGGATTGCTCGTTATTCGTTCTCAATCATAATAGTTCGTTCTGCGCCATCATCTGATAGCACATTATTTCAAAAGGGCACCAATAGTTGCCTGATCGAATCCTCAAACATTTTCAAAGTAAGAAACCATCTTCACTTTCTACTCGTTCGTATATTTGATAGTGTCCTATAACAATAGCGTGTTTCGATCGAAAGATCTCCTCTAAATCCTCCCATAAAGTTCCATGATCAAGACCAGTCTTCAAATCTGATGCATCTATGAGTCATTCACTAATGTGTTCGGGAAATTGAAGAACACTGCCGAAGAAATATTAACATTATTACACTCAGTTCCTTGAAAGAAGGGAGAACGCTGTAGAAATATTTCAGAAAGTATTATAACCTGTTTAACAATGCAGAAGAAGAAAATATGAGAAACAATGACAGAAATGGCCGGAAATAGAAGAATGGGGCTTTTACGTACATAGCATCCAATTCCTGTGTATTTACATATGTAACAGCTAAAGTTGGCTTTTTTACATTTACACCAACGAAATCTTTCATATCACATCAAAAATACCATTTTTTCCAACTTTCAAAAAGTGAAATACACCTTTTCATTCATAGAAAAGGTGGGTATATATGAAAAAAAATTTCCCGGTTCTAATATCTATGAGTTATTAAATTTTATAAGAGATACAAAGTCAATTTATAAGGCCTAGCTGCATGATGGATGGGATAAAGGACATCATTAGTTGATAGTTATGCTGGTATAAGCATTCCTTTACAACACTTCATCTTTGATTAATGACAATGGAGAGGAGAAGAACAACATAAAGGCTTTGCTTGGTTTCTAAGCTATAAATACTTCTCCTTTCTACAAAAAATGTATAATTTTCAGTTGAATGATTTACTGATGAACCTAAATTTGCATTTTTTTTCCTAAACGAAACTTAAACAGATAAAATATTTAGTGGCGGCTTGAGGAGAAAAAATCCTGGCTATGGTCAAAGTCAATTGAAGCAACCATCAAGCATTTTTGACGGGATAGAAACCATAGAATTTTCTATGGTAATGGCAGTTCTTTTTCCTCCTGACAGAGGGAAAAGAAAAAAAACTTTTCCTGCAAGATGATAACAATTATCTAACTTGCCGTTCATAAAAACAATCATAGTCAAGATTTCTGCCAAAAATTAATAATAATCTGGTAAAATTTCAACAGAATGCAATAGAAATAAAATTTTGTACCATAATGCGCTTCTCTGCAAAATCAGTCTCATTTGAATGCAGCATGGAAAGTATAAGAAATGTAGGATTCAAAATTTCACTGCTCGAATTTGGATAAAATTTTCCCCTTTCTTATGAGATTTTCAAGCACCAACATAGCTTTAGGAAATCTCTTCCTACCTCCTTTTAAAAGTGCTCGGTCAAGAATATTACTCGAAGCTTCATTTAGTTCAATCCCATCAAACTCCATCTTAAGCAGTAACCAGTACACATCCCCCAATCTACCTTCCCTAAACATCACATCCATGATGTTATTGTAGAACGATACATGAGGTCTCACTTCGTGTTCGATCATCACATACTCCAAGCGAAGTGCGGCACGTATATTTCTCCGCCTGCATAAGCTAGAACTCAATAATGTGTATGTGATACCGTCGGGTAATAAATCCCATCTATACATGTTCGCTAATAGGCACCTAACCAAGAGGCTCTTGTCGATTGTGGCGTGCATCAGAATATTATACGAAGTGGTATCTGGAAATGACCGGCTACCTTTGAACTCTAAAAACATTTGGAAAGCTTCCTCAACCATCTCATTCTTGCAAAGCATGTTGAGAAGCACATTATATGTTATCGTAGTAGGATTGTATCCATTGTTGATCATGAAGATAAATAGATCATAACAACTCAATAAATTCCCCATCTTACCAAAGTATTGCATTAAGCAGGTCAAAGTAACAACATTCGCCTCGATTCCTTCAGATTTCATGCGATATAAGATCCTCCGTATCATCGAAGAGTGACCGTTATTGCATGCTGTAAACAAAATAGTGTTGAAGGAAATCACATCATGCCCTTCTCTACCCCACTCGTTATGATCAAGAAACTTCAATGCCTCCTCAAGTTTCTTCTCCAAGCATAAACCTTTCAATATTGTGTTACGAGTCACATTGGTTGGGACGAAACCCTCTCCAACCTTACGTAGCAACAATGATGACGCCTCCAATGCCCGATTATCATAACATAAACTATGGAAGTAAACATTCCAAGTAATGACATCAACGTGTTTGTCAGTCGATAGTACTTTGAGAAGAAGCTCTTGAGAAGTTCTAACTAACCCAACTTTCAACATGCATGTAGCCAGAGTGCAATAAGTAAAATGATCAGGATGAAATCCCTTCACCGACATCTCTTCCACCAATTTAATTGCTTCAAAAATTCGATTTTGGGTGCAAAGCTCATGAAATAAAACATTATAAGTGATTTGATCAGGGCTGCAGCCTTTCCCATCCATCATCCCATAAATTCTTAATGCATCCTCAACAAAGTTATATTTGCAAAGAAACTTAATGAGCACAGTATAAGTTACAACTGTTGGCAAGCAGCCATTACACTGCATGAACTCCAAAACAGAATAAGCATCGATCCACAAACCTTTTCTACTGAATCCCAATATCAGTGATGTATAAGAATACACATTGAGCAAAAATCCTCTTTTTCTCAAACTACAGAAGAAAGCTAGAGCAATAGATGTCTGCCCGGAGTTGCAGAGGCTCGATAAAATGGGATTGTATGTGTACACATTGAGAACAAAGCCCTTCGCTATCAACATCCAAAATAATGAAATAGCCTCACGAATTCTTCCACCGCGACTAAAACCAGAAATCAAAGAATTCAAAGCCGGAAGTGTTGGCTTATAGCCATATCTAAACATTAGATCAATAACTTTTTGAGAAAGATCAAAGATACCTGCCTTCAAAGATTTCTTCATCAACTTCGTCAGAATGGAAAATGAAGGAACCAGTTTATTGAGGCACATCTCCTCTATGACAAAGAAAGAATCTTGCAGTAATCCTAAAGTGCACAATCCATTAAAAAGTATATTGAATGTCCAAACGTTAGGGAAGAGGCCATATCTCTTGATCTCAAAGAAGACTTGGGCTAACTGGTCGACAGAAGTACGGCTCTGTTTGAGATAGCAGTAGAAAAGCGCGTTGTAATCAAGAATGGTGGGGTTCAAGAGATGGAGTTGGTGCAGAGCTTCAACTAAATTGCCTGCCCTGGCCTGGCGCTTTCCTGCATCTTCAGTCTAGCCGAAGTTTGCGCGGGATGGGAACCCCTATTCTGAGTTCTAACAGCGCAGCGCCAGGCATACGCTTGATTAAGATTTGATCTAACAATTGGAGAAGAGGAACAATAGGTTGGATTTCGAGGGTGGTTTTTGCCGTCGGACTCGAATTGAGGGCTGTCCTCGGTGAAATCTTGCTTAACGGCGGCGCTGGAGAAGTAAAAACTGAAAGGAAAACAGGCAAGTGAGTGGTTCCTGCGAGAAGCAGAAATGGAGCATAGCATGGGAAGGCGAGGAAGAGCAGAGTGACCTAGCTTCTTATACTGGACGAACCGAGTCTAACAAGTAAATGGATTGATAATCTCTGCAACTTTCTTCTCTGGACCAAAACCCTAAAACCTCGGTAGAGTGGCAAGTTGTACCCGTCAGAGAAAAATTAATTTAGCATTAGAAGTTGAGTTGTAATCTGGCCGGGAGGGCCGGTTGAACTTGATTTGTTATAATTATATATTATTGATAAAATGAAATATTATTATTAAATTTATAATTGAATAAATTATAGTAAATTAATTCTTATTTAAATAATATATCGTATATGATACGAGCTATATTCGAGTTTTATATGAAATATTTAACAAGTTACTTGTTAAACAACAAACGAGTTTGTTCGCGAATAAAAATGAACAAATTCTATTATGTTCATGTTAGCTCATTTATATAATTCAAACTTTTAAAAAATTGTTCAAGCTCGTTTATTTATTAAATCGAACGAAGATGATTGAGTTTTAATTGAGTTGAATTTGAGTTGTTCATCGAGTGAGTTGGTTCATTTACAACTCTAATTACACTCATATTTGTCATTACTTCTAATAGTTTTGTGTGTGTGTGTGTGTGTGTGTGTGTGTGTGTGTGTGTGTGTGTGTGTGTGTGTGTGTGTGTGTGTGTGTGTGTGTGTGTGTGTGTGAATTTTGCTTTTATATATTTTATTTTATTTTGTTCGTGCAATATTATATTTCTTATATTTGCAAACTGTTTATTAAAATATGCTCAAAATAAGGCATGCGTGTGATTTTAGTTAATAATGCATATACTCCATATCTCTATAAGAAGAGGGCTCTTTAGATTATGTGATGGCATTACCCAAAAAAAATTATAAAAGTAAATGTTGGGATTTGATAAAGAAATTGGTTAGATAGTTAAAGGTTTTTGGCACAATTGTATTAAATATTATACATGGTGATATAAAAGACGTGATAATTGTTGAATTTTGATTTGTCTGTGAATCACACATCAAAGAAAAGAATTTATATCAATCGTGTATCCATTTCCCAACATTTTTGGCTAAGATTGTGTTCTAATGTATATGAAATGACCTCTCTATTTATAGGAGAGAGTGTAGAATATAGTGATGTTACATTTTTTTCTCGTGTTTTAATGGAGGTTTTACAAATTATTATAGGTATTTTAAGGGCATGAGCATATGGATCGGTTGCTCTCTGGCTTGCTTGGATTAACTTATTTGGCTTTGGCTTGGTAAGGTATGTTCGCTCGGCTGGGCTGAGCTGGCATTATCAGTCAGGTGAATTTTAGTGTCTTTGGGTCAGCATGACTTGTTCGGTCGGCTAGACTAGATCAACTTGACCTAGAATTGTTGTCGACCCTTGAATCTTGATCTCTAGTGAGAAGATTCTGTGTGCTGAGCGACGCAAGACTATCGACTAGAGTGTGAATCATTGTGACCTAAAAGATAACCCGCTTCTCAATGACAAAAGTCTGAGAGCCCGCTTCTCAATGAGAAAAGTTTGAGATACGTCTATAAGACTCTTTGTTGCATTATTAATTTAATTTTTAATGAGGAGTCGCAGATGCATCTATAGGATGGTTGGCCATATTGAGGAATTAGATCTTTCCTCGGGCAGGCTTTATAGGAAGGTGGGTTTTTGCTTTCGATTGGCTTTCTTGTAGTGGTTGTCTTAAATATCTCTGTCTCATTTCTAACCAAAAGACTCGGATTCGATCACATTCGTGACCCGGTTGCCTTTGACCTTGCTTTCTCTAGTTTGGATAGCTGCATCAAATCAGATAAGTGGGCCTCCTGTTCTTCTTTAGGTGGAACCTTCTTTGTCATACTCTCTTCCTTATGGATTGTTAGATCTCCTCAGCAATGATGTCAACACATTTTCAATGTATATTATGATTATCTTACTTCATAAAAATGACATTGTGATAAGAATAAGAAAATTAAATGAAAAAAGTTAGATATTATTAATAATTAATCAATGATTCAATAATCAAACTCAATTGATTTTTCTCCCTTAGCTCTTATAAATAGGTCTTGATGAGACATTGACATTCCGTATTTGATTTGCATTTCTTCTCATATGAATCGGTCAGCTTCCAAGCTCTATTGAGGAGCACCTATCAAATATTTTGATCTATCCCTTATAATGAAAGTACTTTTTGCCACCTTCGGAAAACAAAAGGTCGTATCGACTTAAAGGTGAAATGAATAAGGAAATCGTTGCTAAGAAAATGGAAGTGGTTGCATTTCATATCATGTGGGGTCTTCTGATTCGTTCTTTGTCATCAACGAAGGAAGGGTAGATGATGGAGGCCAGATTGGGTGTCTCAATCATCGATTGTTGGTTCAACATTCTGCTTTGACACTACACCTCTCAATTGGACAAACCATGCAAGAAGCAGCTAATATTATGCCGTCGCCTGTGATGCAAAAGGCTGTTGGTGCTCTGCCGGCACCTGATAAGAATGTTGTGCTGGTTACATTGTCTGAGTAGGATTGACTCCTTGATATGAAAAGTCTCAATCGTGTTGGTTAGATTTTAAATTTTTATAGGTCTCCTTATATTTATATTTTCTTTGATGTAGTTGGTTCGCCATAATTGGGTGATGACTTGCCTCCAACAAACGTTAGCGAGAATTTGATGGCATTGCCTGTGTTGAATGCTTAGGCACCGATTGGGAGCGAGGAAGAAGGATCTCATGTGGCATGCAGGGCAGCAATTAATAAGTGTCGAACGTCCCCCAGGTCACCGGCTCATCGCATGAATGAGAACAAGAACTCCTTTGCTAGATTGGTTGGGATTCAAGAAGTGGAAAAGATGCATGAGTTGTTGGCTTATGTAGAGAGATTGGAGAAAATGGAGGATGAGATTGCCCTTTATTGACATGAACTATCAGAATTTAGGGGGAGTTCCCTCATGCAACTGACTCAAGTTGAGGTAGATCGGGTGAACCAATTTAAGTTAGGGGGAGTTGTTTTGTACATGAGGCCGCTTTGGTAGGGACTTGTATATTGAAGTGACAGAAGATCATCTTGTAAAATGTTTTCTCTCAAGCTAGTTTTGAGCATTATTTGTAATGTCTATTTTTAGAATAAAATTTATTTTTCCTTCTTAATTTCTATGTTGATTTGATATTTATGACAGTGAATTTTGAAATTTATTGCATGATTTTGTTTTTACCCTTGTGTAACAGTCTCACTTCATTATTTACCCTATATTGAAGGATGGAGTTAGATTGATGCTAGATTTTTAATTGTCTTTTCTCTCTGGTTATTCTCGTTCACTCGACTTTATGTTATTATTATTATGTTTTGATGCCTACAAAATACTTTTTAAAAGCTTTCAGGTTGATCGTCGTCCCAGAATGATCCATGATGACCCAAGGGGGAAGTGGACCGATTGTGGGATTCCTAAGTGTACAATTCCTCCATTAGGCTTCGAGTCGTCGGTGAGCGCGACTGAGCAAACACTCCATATCGCCTCGACCTAATCTTCTACAAGGAAAAATTTTGCTTCGCCGTGAGACTGCCACTCTATGGTAAGTTGTAGGTCAACTTCAATCACTATGGATTCATTCCCACCCAGATCCTGTCAAACTTCATTGCAGCCATTATGACCATCGTCATCTTTTGCTACCAGTCTGGAATTTTGTGGTCTGCGGCGCTCTCTACATACCTATTCTTATTCTAGATTGGCTCGGGAGGTTGTGCCCAATTTTTTTATGTGGTTCGTTCGATTCGAGTGGCTAGGGCTGGAGAATAAGTTGAAGGACTAGAAGCTTTAGTTCTGCATTAGTTCTTCTCTATTGAGCTGGAATATCGATAGTGTTCCATATGGGGATTTTTCTGCCAAGTCTAAGAACAAGGTACTGGATCAGGTACTAGTGGAAGCAGTAGGGGTTGATGGTTAACAACTTTCGGTCCACCAGCATCTAAATCCTATAATTATCAATTAGATTCTATGAGGAGGCATTACAATGAATGACAGGCGAATTAGGCTGTCTACTACACTAATAAATCTGAGTGAGATCCATCGGTTGTTGCCTGAGACACCAATAAGAAGGCCCGCATGGCCACTTATGTTGAAACCACTCGCCTCAAAGCTGTTGAAGTAGCGGGTCGAAATATTCCTCTTGCGGTTTGATTCAACAATGACCCGAAATGTGCAAAACTAATTTATTTTGTGTGTCTTATATTATTTTTTAAAGGGTCTCTACTAGCAGGCTAATTCTTATAAAGAGAACATCATCTAGAATGTATACTAAAAGCTCTTTATTGATTGTAGGCCCTTTGGGAGCACAACAACAAAACGATGAAAGGATGTTGAGCCAGTTGAAACTGAGCGATGTCGAGGGGAAAGCCTCGACAAAAAGAGTACGGTTGCAACTAGCAAGTTAGCAAGTTGCCTAATATTATTCTTGAGTATGGTTGCAACTATATTTTCAAAAAAAGTATGACCCGTTGTGATATATGTCATAGTCTCAAGAAATGTTGAGTATCAGTGACACCTCATATAGGCTTTATTAATCCCAAGGGAAGTCGATTCAACCTCTTCCACTATAGGCTATGGTCATCAATCAGAAGCTTCGGCGAACAACCGTGAATAGGTCAAAAATACTCGATGAATTCTCTTCGCTCTCTTCTGCAGCAGATTATGACTATCAAGCATAAGCTTCAACTAAAAATCTTGGATATGTCAACCATCCTTTGTGGATTTCACATGACTTTATCCCTTATAGGTTAACACCGCAGAAAATCTCCAGCCAGACAATCTAGGGAAAGGTCTTACATTCTTAATGTACTCTTCTTTCAAGTCTTTTCCAACACTTGTTAACTCCGTCGAGTATCTCTAATTATATAGCTTAGGACATATCTTAGTTATTATTGATTACAATTAACTTCTTTCATTGCTAGCTTTGATCATCAAGCAAGCACACTCAGACTAAGCAACTTAGGAAAAGTCAAACATTCCTAGCAACAACTTAGAAGCCGGTTCAATAAGCTTAGAAGCTGGGCAACAACACCTTATAACCGCTCAAAAGGTGAAGCTACCACAACCCAAAAGAAAAAGGTAAAAACAACCTTATTGCATCAAGAAAGAGAGTGATGTATCGACAAACTCATTATCATCGTGTATAAATGTCAAATTAGACGATTGAAAAACTAAAAGGCCAACACACATTGACATAAAACTACAATAAGTTAGCACATCTCAAATAATTTCAGCACCGCCTTCTCAAAATTCTCGTACTTCAACTAATCTTCAAGCGGACAAGATTCTCTAGAAATCATCTAAAAAAATGAAAAAAAAACTCCTCCAAAAATCACCATAACATCACAAGAAATGTCCTCCATAAAACATGATATTAGCACTAAAAATCTCCTCCTGAAAATGTAACAGCAGCAACGCAAGAAATCTCCCACAGTAATTATTGCAGTACAGCAAGAAATCTCTTCCACAAAGAGCAAAAACAACATGAAAGGAGATATCATTAATTGCCCCCAAGCAGGCCGAATGTCACTTTAATTCTTCTAGAAAGTCTAGGGGACTTCACCTTCTTTCTCTAGAAAATGCAACAACAATGTAAAAGCAATTTCTGTTTATCACCCACAATTGCGGTCTCAAAACATATTATTTACGAATGAAAGACCCGGTAACGCGCCTCCGTCCTCTCCTGATTGGTAGTTCACTATGACCTCCGTGAAGGACAACTTGCTTCTCCAATGGCTGCGTACCAGCCTCTGGGACTTGTCGCCTTCTCATCAACAAACAGATCATCATTTTTCCAAAACACCACATGGATCAATACAACCACCACTCCAATCAACAAAGAGTCAATAAAGACAGGGCAATGAGCACAAATAGGTCATTGATAGTGCGTTCCATAATGAATACAAGCTCAATCTTGAAGAAATAGAGGAAAAGTCAAGCAACCATCATGACGACGAAGAAGATCAGTGAGATTGGGTGCCAAAGGAGGCTAAGAAAGACGACGATGATGGCGTAGTTCATGGCAAAATAGTTGGTGTTGGTTCAGATCCAAATATAGGTTTTGTCGAGATTGAGCGGAAGGAAGAGGCGTGGAAGTGGAGCATCTTGCGCCTTGGCCGGCGAGTTGCGAGAGTTGATCGGTTGCGAATTTTGACACACGAGATTAGGGCTGTCAAAACAGCTCATTAAGCTTTTGGCTATTCGCTAAGTTAATGTGTCCAACACGAATTTGACTTGTTTTTGGCTGGAAATACTACTAATAATATATATATATATATATATATATATATATAGATT